CACGCCAAGTTCGTTCTACTGGATTTGAAATGATATGTAGGCGTAGTAGAAAAAATGCAGACAATACAAGACCAGTCGGTTCGAAGTTAACTGACTTCAGAGACAAGGCGAATATAAAGTAAAATTGCAACAAGTTTAAAGGAATGAACCTTGCAATAAGTGAAGACCTTTCCCACCTGGTTGATGAAGTTAGAAAAAAAGTGTAATGGCTCCAGAAAAAATATATATAAATAGGCAAAGAAAAAGTGTAAGTGGTGACTGACAAAGTAAATATTAATGATGAAATTTTAGTCTGGAATAAGGTCCGGAATGACAAGCTTTCTATCTAAAATAAAAACAAAAAACTATCGAATCGTCACCAGGAAAAATCGCAACCAAACCTCTGCACAGATGTAACACTGATCCATCTAAATGCGAGAATTTTGCTGAATAAATCTGTTCAATTTAAATGTGCGCTTCTTGGTCATGGGCCTGATATCGTCACTGTCGGAGAAATCTGGCTGTCACTGCTTGTTTCGATCATGAAGTTGTATTGTCCAACTACGTTATCATAAGAAAAAAACATAAAGCCAGGCGAGGAAGGCGTAGCCATAATCATAAAAAATGCCATGTTCACTCGCTTGCCGGACGTACATTTCTAACGTAGAAGTAATTTTTTGCACGGTAATTTTCGATGCACATGCAATTTTCTTAGGTGCTTTTGATGGGAAACCTATATGCTGACCAGAACTGATGCTTTCTCTGCACGACTTCATGATACGTCATTTTAAACGCTGCAGACTTAATTTAATTGGAGATTTTAACCTAGCTGATATAAACTGGCTAAGTCTGCAGTATTACTCAGAGTGCTCGAAAGATCTTTTTGACGTTATACTTAGCCTTAACCTCACCCATATTGTTAATCTTTCCATACCACGCATCATCTTGATTTGGTGTTGCTTAGTAATTATCTTCCAGAACTTGAAGCTAAGTTAATGCTATTGAGGGAATTATTGGTAAAAAAAAATAACTATGTTCAACCCCTGTGCGAGATACCCTTCGCTACCTTTCTTCACAATCTACATTACTGAACTTCATTAAAGCATACAATGCAAGAAAATTATCTCATCTTTCCCAAAATTTTTTTTTCTTTGCCGATTATGCCTTAAATGACTATTCCTGTAAAGACGATCTGTGCAACAATTTTAAACAAATTGTTGGCTCTGTGTTTCTATATTTAATCCTACAAGACAACAGATTGGAAAAAAAATACAATACGTGGATTAATCGTAAAGCCATTAATGAAAACCGTAAGATAAGAAGAAAGCGCGAATCACTGAAAACCATTGGCACCCCACGGTGTAGACTTACCGCTCACCAGACATGGGTAAATTACTTTCAAAATGTAATTTAATTACAATTACAATTACTTAGCTCCCAAAGTAGTTTAACTACAATTACAATTACTACTACGCAAAAGTAGTTCATTGCAATTACAAATTACTTTTTAAAAGTAATGCAATTACTTTACAATTACTTATTTCTGCGAGTTACCCACCTTGGGCTATATAACTGTAAAGAAGTTATATGGCCGCTGTATAAATGTCACGCATTGTACTTTCTTTTTATGCAATTTTTTAAATGGATTATAGAACTTAATAGTTTGGAGTGATGAACTCCTGCGTTCTTATATTCTCAAAAATAAAAATAAATGGCGACAAAATTCACAGGTGCGAAGTGAATCTCCTTAGAGCTTATGCAAATGGTATCCAAGTCAAACCAACAAAAAAATTAACTTAAAAATAATACAAGGAAAAAAATATGCGACAGTACTGGTATCATAAAACTCACGTAAAATGGCTAATAAGAGAAACTTGTAAACGACGTCAAACATTTAAAGAATACGAGAACTTACGAAAGCATTTCAGCCACGATGATTCGCTGCCTCTCCCTATCTGTGGACTTTTAACATGCCGGATGTGGGTAACCGTAGCACGCAAACTGTGGTTACTTCCACAAAACTAGTGTCACAATAGCAGCAACTCTATTGCCAGGGATTCTGGGTTCATTCAGTGCACGGGAACACCCGAAAAGCTCCTGAGATAGATAATAAATTTAGGATCGTCATGTAGCTAATCATTAGGATAGCAATGATTGTATCGATGTTATGCGTCTCATAAAGAAAACTGATTTGAATTTAGCATGGCAAGAACAACCTCGAAAAATTCGGGATACGCTGTAAACAACTTTATTTTCGCGAATCGCCTACAATTCGCGAAAAATAAGTCCCGCGAGCAATTCCGGTAAAATGTAAACACATTGGAATCTATATTGCGTCGCAAAAATTAGAATCCGCGATTTATTCCAAAACTGCGGCCTCTTGGACACCTCGATTTCATGATTTACTTGAGCGTGTTTCAGCTGAAAGATATAGACGAGCCAGTATTATTTTTTTTTATAACTGTAAGTATTATTGAAAGTGACAAAAAAGTTGCCTACCTGCAAATGTTTCCGCAAACTGGAGGTCGCCTTTCGGTTTGTTGAATTTGTTTTCAGAGACGGTGCAGAGAATTTGCACCTCACGATTACATTTTTTTACGTTGCTGCTAACCTGTTTAAAGAATTTTTCGTAACAAGGCCCCGGCAGCCTTTCCTTTTCCATAATAGATAAGACTGTTGCAGGTTCTCAATGCAAAGCAGAACTGCGTGCCTCGGGACGGTTTCACAGGCCAGGACGAGAGGACAACGCGTGGGGGGTCACGATAGAGGTGTAAAAGCAAAGTACAAGCCAAGCCCTCTATATAAAAAAAAAAAAGCCTTCAACTAACAACAAATGTAAAAACAAGATCCCTACAGTCTAAAGCCGCGGTTTGTAGATTTTGGAATCTCATCCAATCAGGCTGACAAACGGTTGAAAGGGTTTGGTAGAGCGAGCACTAAATGATTAAGATTTATACAAAAAGGTAGACGAGGATTGGGAGAAGGAAGAGCAGTGTAGCAACAACAGTTGGAAGTAAGGCAGGGTGAGTCGTGTTAATGAGACCTGCTGTTTCTTTGCTTCTTCGCCTCGATGAAAGGGTAGCACGACTTACTGTTAGTGGTACCAACATACGAGATAGAGGAGAAGGACGTGAAAAACTCATAAAGAAAAGAGAATAATTTCATGAACAAAAAAATCCCCAAACTTGACTGAAATATGTAAGCGTATGTGCTAGCGGCGAAGGCACGCAAGGAGAGCCTCGAATCTCCCCGCCTCGACCGGATGATGTGATCGGAGCCAACCAGCTCGACTTCGACCCCCGATGCCCCCGTGTGGGAATGAGAAAAAAGAAAGACGTACCCCTAGAAACAGGAGCAACAGGAAGCGAACGAGACGAAGAGTCAGATTCAACTACGACAGGAACGAAAACGGACGCGAACGTAACCCTCATTTATTAAATTATTTCTCAAATTCTTCATTAAATTGTTTTACAGTCTACAAAATCCTTCATTCCGTTCTATCCCAGCCTCTCTTTCCCATCCTTCTTTTCCCTCTTTTTGAGCAGGTTGGGAGACACTGTCTCCCCTGTCGCTTTGGCTGTGCTGTCGTTTCCGTGGCCAGGGGCGAAAAGCGCCGCCGCCGCAAAATCTTACAAAAGTAATTGTAATTGTGCCTGAAATTTAGCAATTACTGACGATAGAAAGTAATTAAATTACAATTACAATTCCTTTTAGCCAAAAGTAATTATTACAATTACAAATTACCAGAAAAAGTAATTAAATTACAGTAATTTAATTACTGTAATTGAATTACTACCCAAGTATGCCGCTCACTCACACTGGAAGCGGATCCGCGTTCGCAAAGCGGTTGCGAACGCGGTTGTATAGAGATTCAGTACAATTGCACGCGCACTCGATGACATCAAGTGCGCGTGCAATTGTACTGGATCTTTACACAACCGAGCTCGCAACCGCTTTGCGAACGCAGATCCACTTCTAGTGTGAATGAGCGGTTAAAGTGGCCCTGCAATCATATTTAAGCGTCTACCTTTTTTGCGGTTTCCACGTCTCTTGGAGTTCGGGCAAGCCAGCGGGCAAGGAGAGAGTAACTAAATATCAGTGCATCATATTTTAACCGGACGGCGCGGAAACCACCTCCACCGACGGGGGCGACTCGCGGTACCGAAAGCACGCGATATGTGACGTCTTTGGTCCTGGCCTTACTACTGGTCAAAGCCGCTAAAAGCTTCTTTTTAGTCGAAATACAAAATAGAAGTGGCGCGAACCGTTTCAATTATTTATAAAAGTAGTTTTCGTTCAGTACTTTAGATCAGAAAAGAAACAAATGCAGTTTATAAACAGCGGAAAGAAGAAATGACCCGCCGACATACCCGCCACCAAGCGGTGGAAAAAGCGGCGCATACTAGAAAGGAGTAATGGCATCAGGTGCCGACACAGAAAAATCCCGGATGTACGCGGTGACGCTGCGGTCGAAGGAGATTAAATGTAGTAGGAGGGGGCCCGTTGGCAATATTGGTGAAGCCTATTCATAAAAAGTTTAAACGATGTTGTGGCCAACGTGACCGTAGAACTCTCTGGCACTTGGTGCGCGTGACATGTCACGTGTGAGATGGATGCTTGATTGTAGAAGGATTCCTTGCAGGCTTGCACGCTCCGTCCGGTAGGTTTTATCAGATCGAAGGCTAGACGAAGGCTAGCTACGGTCACGTGATGTGGTCACGTTGACCTGTAAGTGAGGAGAGCAAGGAGGAAAATGAGACAGCGGTGAGGCGTCAAGGGAGCATGGCTTGTGGAGGCTACGCGGCAGACGTCATGCCCTGTCCTAACCTTCTATCCTCCTTGCTGCGGTCGTATCGACTGCAGGATCCGACCGGCTCCGAGCGTTCCGAAGGCCTTCGGCGAGCAGCTTTGTCTTTCGGCTTGACGAGAATGAATGAATGAATAAATAAATAAATAAATAAATATAAAAATTTCCCCTCTGCTTCTTATTTTTCATTCTTCTTTTTTCTCTTCGTTATTAGGTATCCCAGTTCTGCGACAACGACACTCACAATTCTGAAGCTCTCAACATGCAAAACGAGCGCCACTTTAGACTCTCCACCTGGGATGTGATTATGCAACATGACGACTTTGTGCGGTGAGATCCGTTCAAGAAAGTCCGTAAAGTACGCAGACAAACCACAACGTGTAAGCACTAACCCTTGCTCATTAAGTGACACCCAGAGTCGGGATCTAGATTCTTAACAAACAATGTTTACCCTTGAAGAAAAAAAAAAACTTTTTCGCGCATGCCTAGGGCTCGCAGGTGCTGTGAGCGAACACGCTTGTCTGAAAATCGATTCACCTACTTTCAGCAGAGAAGTGTATTTGTCCACTGCGCGTGCGTAGATATACGTTTTCAAGGACCTAAGCTACTGCGCACGCTACATTCCACGGCCCTCGCCGCCATTTTGACGAGACGTCAGATATTTGAGCGGTAAGCGTTACTCTCTGTGGCACATGGCCGTCGATGATACAACTTTTACTGAAAAAAAAAAGAACCATGTGGCACTTGAAGGAGCCGCAAAAGAGACTTTGACAAATTATATAGCAATTTAAAACGTGAGATTACGTTTATCTCTCGGGGGGAAGCTTGTGAAAGAATGGTAATTGGCATATTCTACTTTTCGAATACTTGCCTGGAAATTCTGTTCATCGCCAAGAGGTTGCGTTACGCCGGGGTCACACTGTTCATGCATCATACAAAGACAGTCCGCAGACATTAGTCACCGCGATATCCGTGGTTCGAATGCCGCGTGCCAAGTTTCTCCTTGAAGTCGCCATGCGGCGTTCGAAGCCCGGATCTCCTGGTGACTTGCGTTCAGAGCTGCTTTAGAGACTGTTCTTTGTATGACGCATATAAGCAGAGTGACCCCGGTGTTAGATGCCCCCACCTTACGCTTGGTTAGCGTTCAGAAAAACTGTTCATCACGAGCTTCAGACACAAGAGGCCACAGCAACTGTCGATTACTCTCATATCGTTTTCTAATTATATCGATACTTATAAAACCCAATACCATATCATGTTGAAAGTAGTTATCTCCGCAACGCTTTATACTCTGTTGACATTCATATTAGGGCGCCACCCAAGTAATAACAAACTATTCTTTACCTCGGAATTAAAAACACCGCGAAAAGACGAGGACCAGACAAAGAAGTGACACGGAGTGTCTGGTCCTCACCTTTTCGCGCTCTTTTTACTTCCAAAGAATGTACCAACTCGCCCAAGCCTCAACTTTATTCTTTACCAAATTGAAGGATCCCCTGATCCAACGAGCACTCATATTTGAATCCAGTCGTCGAATTCATGTAAGATGACTGAGAAAGAAAGAATAAAGCGACAACACTATCCAAATGCTCGACGAATCTCGCCTAATTAGGCTGTTCGACTACAATCATTGTGACCGAACCATTCCTTTCCAAGAACTCGGGGACTCAGTTCGGGTATAGGCTCGCGTAGGCACACCTAAACAACCAGTTCAAGAATCTTAATGAGTATGATCCTCTTTCGCTGCCCAGAGCCAGGGTGGTTCACGAAGGACGTTCGCATGAAAGTCTCAGAATAAGATTTCTTTTGATGCCCACTGGTGCCGCATGTCTTATTACAGAGTGCCCGAACTACCAGTCACCCGGCCCATCAGCACAAGATTCCGGGAAGTCCAGCAGGCAGAAAAAAAAGGGAAGCGCTTCGTGTTTGTTTTAGACGCGTCGGTTAGCATGGACGTAAGTTACCGCACTAGGTTACCCATTATAACCATAATGACCGGGCAAAGAGTAAACCCAACCCAGCCCCAACCGGAATGAGGGTGCGAAGCACGTGACGGCTCTCCGCACTGCGATGATAGGTTGTCACTTACCTCGCTCGGATACTGTTATTAGCCCGCTGTCGCCTTCGCCCGCCATTTCTTAGTTACACTGAAAAGGAAAAATAGTCAATTCTAACTATACTCACTGGCAGATTGAGAATGACAGAGCGTTTCTTTCGGTTGCCCCCTGCCGGTCTCACCTTGTCAGTGACCATTTGCGAATACGGAGAAACGGACGACACCTAGCGAGAAGCTCTCCGGCGGCCCTTCTAAAAGCCCGTTGACCCGGCAGAAGAAGCGTTGAGCTTCGGAGCCAGCATCAGCTTCTAAAAGTTTGAGCGTGTGCACACGGCATGGAGCTCGTATTTTTGTTAACACCGCCAAGGCAGAGGCGTTCGAGCGCGTTGAGATGGGAGTCAATTGCCGCTTAGCTCGTGTGCTTGCTCTGGCAGTGCTTTTTTAGACCCAGTTATTGCTAAGCTTATTCTTGTAGCTAGCCCGTGTATTTATATTGCAGTGAATTTACTAGAACGTCTTGCCATCTAGAATTAAGATGTTTATTCACTAAAGACCAACAAACGACGTGCCACCAAAAACAAGCTTCTGCAGAGATCGCTTGAGTGCCCCTTGACCGTTACACGATCTTGAAGAACAGGACAATCGGTGCCTGGGATTGAACCTTGGTCACCGGCATGGAAGCCGAGTGCGCTGCTGGCTAAGCTACACGGGCCCAGCTCGCGGGAAATGCAGGGGCAAAGGCAGGTGGTGTGAGAGAGCGTGCGGGATGGAGAGGGGTGGAAAAAGAATGTGGAAGCCTTTTACAATTCCCTGTAACGCCGAATTATGGCGCAGTTCTTGAGGAGGGGTAGGGAAGGGTACTTGGGGGGGGGGGGGGGGGGGGTCACGTGCTTCCCTACGAGGTCACGTCGGGCCTCAGGGGGGTCACGTGACCTGGGGGTGTCACGTGACCTCGGGGGGTTGTCACGTGACTACGTGACCCCCAGAGAAATTTTTCCGCTAGATTAAGTGGAGAAATTTTTCCGCTAGATTAAGTGGAGAAATTTTTCCGCTAAATTTAGCGGAGAACTTTTTCCGCTAGATCTAGCGGGGAAATTTTTTCGTTAGATTTAGCGGGCAAATTTTTCTGCTAGATTTAGCGGGAAACTTTTTCCGCTAAATTTAGCGGAGAAATTTACCCATAATGCACTGCGCGGTTACGCCGACGCCGACGCCGCTCAAGCCGGAAACGGGCGCCTAAGAGCTGCGCTCTAAAACGAGGAGCGCAAACAGGTGATGTAGGAAGAGCGCGCGGAACGAGGAGTGGGAAGGCAGGAAAACACGCTTCCCCTTCCTTTGTGACATAGAAAATTTAACGAAAAGGCTTTCCATCCGGGTGGTGCTGGAGGGAAACACGCAAAACGTCACAAGCAAATAATGGTGTGACGTAATCTATTTTTATAGAAGACCCTGCCCCAGGAACCACCTGAACTAAAAACACCAACAACCTTAGGCGCTGAAAAACTAAGGGTCATCCCATAAACACCATTCGACCTAAGAACACTACCAACCCCATAAACCTATTGCCTCTAAACGCGCTTGGCAGAATGGCCAAATACGTAGCGGATTTATTTCTACATTTTCTCTCGTTTTAAAACCGGAGGCACCGCATGCGTTTTTCTTATCCCTTTCGGCTAGCAGAGCAGCACTCTGATTTTAACTAATGGCGTCCCCGAAAAAGCGATGCGAGGACTTTTGAGAAGGAACGAATATAATCTGTGCAGACTGTCGGATTATTACTATCCGGGCATGCGTACCTAAGCAAGCCCGATGATGAAGATAACGACTATGATTTGCGGCTAAAGCTCCAAACGTATAGCGCCGCCGCGCAGCGGAAAGAGACACTTGCGATTTGTTTTCTATGTCATGCATTTCCTTTCGGCGGATGGAACGGCTGGAGGAGAGCTTTGCGCGCTAAGGATTTAGGAGGTCGTGAACAGGCTCTGTCGCGATTTCTGCTCATCTCGCGTTGCTTTCATTGTTTTGTGTTGTCGGCGGTTGGCGCGATAGCTACCAGTGGGAAGGAAGGGAAGCTACATTGGGGAGGGTTGTGTCTACAATAACGGAAACCCCAGTAACGAGATGGCCAGAGGAAAAACCGCGACTTGTAATGGCCGAATGAGTGAGGTGAGCCTTTCATTGCTCTAATTGTGTAATGCGAGAAGCTGTCCCGTTGGCTGCCCTTTTTTGTATATCAGCGCGTTGCCTATAGGTCTGTATAGAGGGACTGTAGGTAGTCATTCCTAACTTTCCCGATGAAAGGTAAAGCTGGAGACGCATGTGAGCAAACCATAGTAGCCGCCGCCGGCGTCGGTGCCGGGGGGTGGAATGACGATGTCATGCCGCTCGGACAATTTTCCTGTTTACGCCTGCGGATTCGCGGGCGGAGCCTCACAGGAGGAAAGTAGATTTGGGAGGCGCGTGGCGAAATCGACTCGGTACGCTAAACGATATGCGATTAGTAGAATTCCAATTTATCCCGGCGGAAAATTCATTTCATGGTCCATTAAAGTGCTTGTACGATGGAGTTTCGTGCACACTTCTCAGTGCAGGCTGTAAGAAAGGTTGAAATAAAAAATGATCGCATCTCCACGTGGTGAATGATGTTGATTGGGGCGAAGCTCTGGTGGTGCTGATGATACTGATTTTATTGTTCATAGGTAGTGCTGATGGTGCTGATTTTTTTTTTATTGCTGAAGGGTAGTGCTGAGTTCCAGGTTGCGTTTCCGACTTCATTAGCCAATGCATGCAGAGTTTAACGCGATTTTATAGGCATTTGACCGCGGCGCCCTCTACTGTATAGACGTTGAGCGGCTATATGCAACGTTTAATCCATGACATCCCCAGCTCTTGAGTTACTACCACATCTCAGAGCCCCCTACTCGTCCCGCAGTCGTGGCCGAGTGGTTGAGGCGATGGACTAGAAATCCATTGGGGTCTCCCCGCACAGGTTCCAATCCCGTCGACTGCGCAAACATTTTTTTCTTTTTTTTTAAGAATACAGATGGGATGGCAATCGATGTGAGCACGGACGCCGGACAAGGCTAGACCCTAAGAAGCTTCGCCCCTAAAATAATTCGCTCCTTTGCCCAACTAGGAATCACAAGCATTTATTATACCTGCTTCATTTTACACTGTTAGCAAAAATAACACGCCCAGACGTGTAAACCGTTGTCCCATAGCGGACACGTCGAAACGTGTTCGTTTTACACGGAGCCATCTGTGTTTTTCGTCT